TGATAAATTGGAGAGGGTTCAGAGAAGAGCCTCAAGAATGATTAAAGGATTAGAAAACATGCCTTCCAGTGATAGGCCCAAAAAGCTCAGTCTATTTAGTTTAACAAATAGAAGCTTGAGGGGGTGAAATGATTACAGTCTATAAGTGTCTACATGAGGAACAAATATTTAATAATGGGCTCTTCAGTCTTGCAGAGAGGGGTATAACACGACCCAACAGTTGGAAATTGAAGCTAAACAAATCTACCCTGGAAATAAGATGTAAATGTTTAATGGTGAGAGCAATTAACCATCGGAACAATTTACCAAGGGTCATGGTGGATTCTCTATCACTGACAATTTTTCTAAAAGATATGTTCTAGGAATTATTTTGGGGCAGTTCTATGGCTTGTGTTATGCAGATGATCACAATGGTCTCTTCTGGCCTTGGAATCTATGAAACCTTTTTTCTAAACATTTATTATTGTTTCACATGCATTGAAATGGGACCTGGGTGATGAATATGGATAACACCGGACTGAACTGTTGTTTGGTTTCACAGTTGCCTCTCTTAAAAAAAGGTTTCAGAGTAGCAGCCATGTTAGTCTGTATCCGCTGCTGGAGTGCTATTTTGTAATCTCGTACAGCAAACAATACTGTAATATACTGAGTCACAACAGAGACAATGCTCTCCATTTTCTACTGCAAGCATAAGGGTCGTTCTGTTACATCTGTTTGCAGAATCAGGGCCTATAAGGGGTTTGAGTGGGAAGACAGTCACTCTCTAAGCCACACGCCAGCTCCATAGCCTTTCCACTGTCACTATTCCAGTTCCTGAGCTGAAACAGGAGATGCACGTCCTGCCCTCTACACACCTACTACATCTCAGTCAGTGCCATGTGGTCTGTATAGTCATTAACCTCAAGGCCCTGTACCTTCATGAACACCCTATCCCCTTCCATCATGACTGTTTTTACAGAGCTGCTATAAAGACTATGTGTAAAAATCTGTAACATACAATAAGAATTTATATTCATTGTTATTAATCAGAGACCAGGGCCCCATTGTGCTAGGCACTTGTACAAACACAGAACTAAAAGATGGTCCTTTTCTCAAAGAGCTTACAATCTAAATATAAGATAAGAGACAACAGATTGCTACCGTTTGATGGGAGAATACAAAGAAACAATGAGATAATACTGGTTAGTTTGATAAGCAGTAGTCACAGCACAGCAGCTGCTTAACCATTGTCAAGTTTTCTCTAGGAATCAGAGCAAAGGAGAGGTTCAAGAAGAGATTTAAAGGTGAATAATGAGGTAGCTATTACTATTATACAAGGTTTGCAGAATCCAACTACGTACCAAGCAGTCAACTTGTGGAGCCAGTTGCTGTTGTGAGGCCAAAACTATAGACAGGTTCAAAAAGAGTAAGATAAGTTCATGAAAGATAGGTCCATCATTGCCTATTACCCAAGATAGTCAGGGATGCAAGCTTGTGATCTGAGTGTCCCCATGCCTGTGAGTGCCAGGAGCTGGGACCGGACAACAGGGGATAGATCACTCATTACATTGCAATGTTCTGTTCATTCTCTCAGAGGCATCTGGCATTGACCACTGTCAGAAGACAGGATACTGGGCTAGATGGACCATTGGTCTGACCCAGTCTGGCCCTTCTTATACCAACTCCTCAGCCATTCACCCCCTGTGCAATGGAACTTCCCTCTCCCAACCCCAACACACGCTCATTTCGCGGGAGGCTTTCTCTGGTCCTTGCTATCTGGGTGAATTTCATTCCTAGTGTTCTAGTTCCTTTGTCTCAGCTGACTGCATCCCTTTTACTATCTGTTCAAAAGTTTCAACTACTATTTTCAAATGTAGAGAGAGAAAAAGAAAACCCTATTATATGTAATTGGAATAAATATATACCATGTAACAGAGACCATAAAGACAGCAGGATGGGCTATGCAACTGTTTATAAATCATAGTTCAAATGACATCTGATTTGTAAGTGTGCCAGAATCACTGATATTGTTTGGATTTGACCTACAATTATTTGAAGTAACAATTTTTATTAAATTCTTTATTATTTTCAAGGAATTTAAATTATTTTTATCAGGTAAGTTAAATACAATGAAAACAGAACAATACCTCTACACAAACAATGAACTGAAATAAGAAACAGCAATGCCATAAAGATAAAAACCTGAAATTTTAATATAGGTTTTCTATATAAATTATGGTAGAGAAAAAATGAATGTATTAAAAATGATGTACAAAGAGAAAAACAACTACAGTCTGAACAGTGGAAATGAGCACAAATATGAATGGATTTTTTTCTTTTCAAAACATTCTAAAATTTCCATCCCTGCTGAGACTGTGATATAGCAAAGTACTTAAGCTCATTCTTGACCTTGTCTTCTTCCTTGACTGTAAATTTCCATGCACCACAATGGCAGGGGATTAATAAAAAATAATAACCGGACCTTCCATTTTTATAATAAATGAGGCTGATAGTTTGTCATGGCAAGAAAATCCCAAAAGCACAACGTTGGGGGGGTTGTTTGTTTGTTTATTTGTTTCTTTTAAAGGGAAATGCCCAAAGGATTTTAAATAATTTTATTCTCCATTAAAAGCGTTCAGTTACTGTCTTTAATAATTTGAGTATCTACCTATAGATGCACCCCAAAATAATATAAAAGAGATATAAAATATAACACACGGGGTAGTTTTGTCTCGTTTTGACAAAGCATTATGTACATGCCTACATTACATAGTATACAACCATTTAAAAACGTAACTCACTCTCCCCTGCTTCTCCACTACAGTGGATATTGAGAGAGCCAAATTTGCTAAAGATCATTAAATCACATTAAGTGTCAAAGTCCACTAAAAGATGGGTTTAGTAATGGCTCTGACATAGTTTTAACCTCAGGCTCATACTTAGCCTCAAATACCAAGGTGACAGGCATCATGGAACAATGTAGATGGAAAACACTTATACAGTTTTTTTACATTCCAAGCACTATACAAACATGATTATTATTGTTAATTATATGCATTGACAACTATCAGAATAAGATCTTCGTTTGCTAGGAATGTACAAATGCACAGAGAGAGGCAGTTACTGCTCCTAGGATCTTATGATCCAGAAAATATTTAACTAAACGTTAAAATATTAACTAATTTTCTATTAGATCGTGGAGTTATTTCCTTGGCAATGTTGTGGAAACACCACTATTTGAAACATTTAAAACTGGACTGTAAAACACAGCCAGAAACAATCAGGCACTGGCAGGGGGGATAACGGATAATATGACATAAAAGTCTTTTCCTTCCCTAATTTCTGTAATTAATTTTTGAGTGATTGGTTGCTTTTCAGTACAATTTCGAGGTTGCTTACATTTGTGCAGAAAATTATTACTCCTCTCTTGCTCACAGGATTCATTGCTGAATGGGATGACTTGCTGTGGAAATGTGTGACCATTTCACTGCATTGTCAATAATAACTATATAAGTAGAAGCAAAGCCGGAAGTCTTAATGCAGTGACCAAGACTTTCACTCCAAAACTTAGGGCTTGGCTACACTCGGGACTTCACAGCGCTGCCACGGCAACGCTGTGAAACGCGAGTGTAGTCGCGCCGCCAGCGCTGCGAGAGAGCTCTCGCAGCGCTGTATGTACTCCACCTCTCCGAGGGGAATAGCTTGCAGCGCTGCGAGCGAGCGTGCAGCGCTGCAGGCACTGATTACACTGGCGCTGTACAGCGCTGTACTCGCTGCGCTCAGGGGTGCATTTTTTCACACCCCTGAGCGCAGCAAGTTGCAGCGCTGTACAGTGCCAGTGTAGCCAAAGCCTTAGAGATATTCAAAATAACTGGTCTGATTGTACGAGATGCTGAGCAGCTGCAGCTGCCTGTCAGTGAGAGTTCAATAGTCCCGTGAAAATAAGGCCAATTATCACTTATTTGTGTCTAATACGCATTTTGAATGTGGGAGGCTGGGTTAGCTGACTGAAAAAACAGGAAAGGTTTCTACAAAATGGCTACCAATCCCTAAACTACATTTCTGGGGTCAGAGCTCATGCCCCCTTCCCAGGTATAAAAGCTCTACCTTCTGGGTGTATCTCTATCACCAGGAGCTTCTCCTGCAACGAAAATATTAAAGGCAGATAACAATGTTCCTGCTTTCTGTAACTACCTACTAGGACAAACAAATATACAGTATTTAAAGGTATATACAGGTACTTTTTTGACAATCAATACCGAGTTGGTTTATCCCTTATAGTATGTGAATGGCCTCTTATTTATTCTTTAAACACTTAAAAATCCCTTCTTCCCCACCCTCAATATACTCTCTGCCTCAAGTAAGGTGGATTGATTTAAAGCAAAGCATTTTAAATCACCAAGAAGGAAACCTTGATTTAAATAACTGATTTTTTTTTTTTGCCTTTGTACCTTAATTATTATCCTAAAGAAAGATTAATTCTTGTTGGTTGGAAACCATTAAAATATGTTTACTTTCTACAAATTAGAGCCTTTACATTAAATTTGCTACTTTTTGCTAACCAGGACGATACACTATATCTTTACACAGTTATTTAAGGAATTGTGTGGATTTTTCATCTTCCTCTGAAGCATAGGGCACAGGTCGCTTACAGGTTTAACGTAGTGTAAATGGTGGATTCTCTGTAACTTGAAGACTTTAAATCACGAATTCAGTAACTCAGCCAGAGGTTATGGGTCTATCACAGGAGTGAGTGGGTGGGTGAGGTTCTGTGGCCTGCAATGTGTAAGAGGTCAGACTAGATGATCATGATGGTCCCTTCTGGCCTTAAAGTCTATGAGTCAGTGAGTCTACGTAACTTAACATACATTTATTCAGATTCATAACTGGCACAATTTTTTTGTTACAAAATAGTGATTGGTGCATGTTTTTTATTTACTAGATTATGATTAATTTTTTACTCATAATTCTTGTCAAGCTGTATTTGGATGGAAATTAGAATTCAATTAATGCACAAAAACAGCATTTACTTTTTTTATTGGTTAAATGAAACTACTTTAAATTTGCTGCATATAAAAAGAAAAAAGTTTATCAAAACATGTTTTACATGTAAAACTAAGTGATTTATTAAACAAAAACTTGCATAAAAAGAGTGTATGTTAATACAGCCACAAGAGGCACTAGTTTGTGATGAGTAGAGACCATAAAACAGGGATGGTCCATTCACTATGAAAACTAACTTCTACGCACTTTAATTTCACCAGATGCATGAACAGGGCATTTGCTACATGTTTGAAATTTAAGTTAGTATTTGGGACTTTTGTCTTGGTGTCCAGGCTTCCTGTTCTCTGAGAAGTGCCTGTGCACGTATTGTAGGACTGTAGCAGCAGTGATGTAGAAGGGCCTGCATTTTCTTTTAATGATAGAGGAGCCACAACGTGTAAAATGAAGCTCCTAATACTATTAGGGTGCTGTGTGGAGTCAATGGCAAAACTCTAATGGGAGCAGGACTGGGCCCTAATTAATTGAAGTTTGCAAAGTGCTTTGAAATCTTCCACTGGAAGTTACAGAAGTGCAAAACATCCTTTATCAAAAGTCCACAGCAATAGGGCTTCTACCAACTCCCTTGGGAGATTGTACTTTGGTGTAAGAGATGTCACTCTCAGGAAGTCCTAGCTCGCAGGCATCACCTAAATGACTCCTACCTCCTGAATCTTTTTTGGATGTGGCTTTTTACTGTTCTATTCACTTCTTGTGTAAACTCATATGTCTCAGAGGAACTTCCTATCACATCAATGTGAGTATCATAAGGAATAACCAGAACTTTGGGGAATCGGGATTTTATGCTCTCAAATGCTTGTTTATATTTCAGCCTTTCGGATCTGGTGTTGCCATCAAGAGAGAATCTTTCTTTGCGTAATCTGCAATGAAGTTTTGCAGACAAATCTTCAATTCCCTCTTTGGCTCTTTCTAATTCTCTAGAATCCGAATTTGCTCTGGCATTTTCTAGATATATTGTGGTGATCTCACCATCTGTGACTCCACGACTTACAACATTGTATTTTGCCAGACTTTCCTTGTATAAAAAATGTTTCATGTAGCAATATATATCTGTGTCCAGGACAACCACTTGTTCTTCCCTGTTTACATTATGGACAAAAGTATTATTTGGCTCCACAAATAGTCCACGCTTCTCGGTCCTGCTGTTAGGTCTTTGATCTGGCTTTCTCTCTCCCCTCTTGCCCTTCCTGGAAAGGGAATTTGCTTTTAATAACAAATTGTCTTTTAGTGACTTGATTGCTGGGAATGACCCTTGAACAGAAATTTGCCCATTGGATTGCAAAGGACTGAAGCTCAAGGCTGGGATAGTCTTCTGAAGCTCCTGCACCAGATCTTCCAAAATGTATTTATCTTCAAAAATGGACAAATCAAGAACAGACGAGACACAGGTGAAGACCTATACGTGTAAAATAAAAGCAATTAATAAGTGCACCCCAGCCGTGACCACATGATTAGGATGCTATGATGGAAGCACTTACGTGTTCACTATAGAGAGAGATTTTCAGAGGATAATACCTGCCCAGCCTCTTGTCCTCTAGTCTGTGTTCATCTTTCTGGAGAGCATTCTTTGTAACTGAGAAGAAAATTCAGACTCACTTTGTTTTGCAAGAGGATGATAATGTTTTATTTCCTGTCTGATGGCTGGAATACTTCATAGGTATTTTTCACAGGACCCTCTGTTGCTTTTCTCTTGATGGTTTCCCTAGTGATTTCCCCACTGTTCAATATTCTTGCCTGATACTTTATGTATTACTCAAAATTGTTCAGAGGAGTGAGAGAGCAGCCTGTCTCCTTAGAACATTAATTGGCAGAGATTTATTCCCCAAGGCTTGACTATAAAAATCTCGTCTGCTATGCAGGTTATAGATTTATTCTTTTACTAGTCTTAAAAGACACACATACTCTGCATTAAGCCTATTCACATTTGTGTCCTTAATAAACAGGAGGAAATCTTAAAATTTGGGATTAATATGAGGGCATTCATGTGTAGTGTTTTAAGTTTAATGTTCTAAATTACATACTCTTATTTCATGGGTACAAGTTATTTGTTAATAATAATAAATACCTTCTTGATCTTCAAAGATTATGTATGCAACTCCTTTTATTGCTGTTGGATAAACTACATCCCTCACGTCTCCACCCCTATTCTTCGCCTTTTGGAAATGAATCATCAATATGTCAGCCATGACATCATCTTTCACAATGCCATCTGGAATACCAGAGACCACAATTGTTTTCTCAGACTTGGCAGCTCGGCCTGTGGCCTGTGGACAGAGACATGACACACTGTAAATACAAGTTATATGTGCAATGACTTAGTCCAATTAGCTGTTCCCTCCTCATAAGAGATTTTCCAGTACCTCTCTGATATCCACTCTGTCACACCATCCCTCCTGTTCCTAAGATCCATAATACACCTCTTTCCATCCCTGCAGCAGGAAGAATGCTGAATCAACTTTTGATTCTCTCCATAGACCTCATAGAACATTTCACCAAAGAACTCCAGACTTAATTTTCATTTACGTTAAAGGTTTGTCTACATTACAGAAGCACAGCTACGGTGCTGCAGCTGTGTGTGCACTGTAGCGCTGTAGTGTAGATGCTTCCTACATCAAAGGAAGGGAATTTTCCGACAGCGTACATAATCCACTTCTCAGAGAGATAGTAGGTAGGTCGATGGAAGAGTTCTTCCGTTGGCCTAGCTGCGTTTACAAGAGGGGAGGGTTAGGTCAGGTCAACCTAACTATGTTGCACAAGGCATGACATTTTTCTCAGCCCTAAGAGATGTAGCACGGTCAATCTAAGTTTTAGGTGTAGACCAGACCTAAGGCCTTTTTACACCAGTGGTGTAAATTACATTCACATCCACTTCAAATGCCAAAGAGAGCAAGAGAAAAGACGACTTTTAAACTTAAATGGCTTCTAAAATGAGCAGTATTTGGTGTGATATTAATAAGACTACTTTTGTTCTATTTTCTGATTCTAACATTCCCAGTGTGAATAGAGTTGGAAAGCACTACTGTGACCAGAGTCCCAGAGGAGGCCACGCTGAGATTGTTCAGTCAGGGCAAAGTGCAAAGAATGGGGCAGACGATCCCCAAAACTAGTGGATATTTCTAATACTTAGATTTACCAAACCAGCCAACAAAATAGCTTCTACAACACTTTACTGGTTACCCAGAAGCCAGAAATACAGTTCCTTTAAACAATCCAGCCTTGAGCTCCTACCCAGACAGCCAAGTCAAATATGATGAACAAATCTTGTTCATCATATAAAAAGTTCTACCAATCCCAGAGGATCAGACACATTACTCACCAGGTCAATGAATATTTCAGATCTTACCCAAATACAGGCTTACAGCCAATTCTTATTAACTAAACAAAAATGTATTAGAAAAGAAAAGAGAGTATTGGTTAAAAGATCATTATACATACAGACTTGAATAAAATTCTTAGGTCAGTTTCATAGTACAGATGGTGAGCTTTAGAGATGCAAAGAGTTCTTTCAGAGCAAGTTCCATAGGTTACACTCGAATATCAGGGTGATCTAGACTGGAGCTGAAGATCTCAGTCTTGGGACTCAAACTTCCTGTGACAAAGGATCAGGGCCCTAGAGTTCTTTTTATAGTTCTCTGGCAGCCTCTTGACAGCAGGCATTCCTTGGGTGAAGCACTGCGGCTTTGAAGTAAAACCTTCTATTTCCTAAGCACCACTGATAATTAGCTACATGGATTAGTATCAGGCAACTGCCCATCTCCCACCATTTACAGGTAGTTTACTACAAACTTCAAAGAGAAATGAAGACAATGATACTACTACATTCACGGTTCATCTAAATGTTAACATCTCCTTTTGATCTCTGAATTAACAGAATACAGTGACAGACAGGAACCATTTGGTTACATTGTCAACCTCTAACAATATGGAGTCTGGTGGCACCTTAAAGACTAACAGATTTATTTGGGCATAAGCTTTCGTGGGTAAAAACGTCACTTCTTCGGATGCATAGAGTGAAAGTTACAGATGCAGGCATTATATACTGACACATGGAGAGCAGGGAGTTACTTCGCAAGTGGAGAACCAGTGTAGACAGGGCCAATTCAATCAGGGTGGATGTAGTCCACTCCCAATAACAGCTGAGGAGGTGTCAATTCCAGGAGAGGAAAAGCTGCTTCTGTAATGAGCCAGCCACTCCCAGTCCCTATTCAAGCCCAGATTAATGGTGTTGAATTTGCAAATGAATTTTAGTTCTGCTGTTTCTCTTTGAAGTCTGTTTCTGAAGTTTTTTGTTCAATGATAGTGACTTTTAAATCTGTAATAGAATGACCAGGGATCACAGACTTCAAATAGAAACAGCAGAACTAAAATTCATTTGCAAATTCAACACCATTAATCTGGGTTTGAATAGGGACTGGGAGTGGCTGGCTCATTACAGAAGCAGCTTTTCCTCTCCTGGAATTGACACCTCCTCATCTATTATTGGGAGTGGACTACATCCACCCTGATTGAATTGGCCCTGTCAACACTGGTTCTCCACTTGCGAAGTAACTCCCTGCTCTCCATGTGTCAGCATATAATGCCTGTATCTGTAACTTTCACTCTATGCATCCGAATAAGTGAGGTTTTTACTCACGAAAGCTTATACCCAAATAAATCTGTTAGTCTTTAAGGTGCCACCAGACTCCTTGTTGTTTTTGTAGATACAGACTAACATGGCTACCCCCTGATACTCTAACAATATATATGTAAACAAACAAAAAATACAATCATTATATACTAATATATCTCTAAAGGTGGAATTTGGGTCATTAAGCCTGCAAGTTGCTTAACCCTTTCTGGCTCAGTGTCACAACTACTATTTATTGTTCATTAGAGATAGGTCTGACTGCAATTTTAAGGCTCAGATTCAAACTTCTCCAAAGTTCAGGAGAGCTGGGATACAGGATTACAGTGGAAGACCACAACTACAGTCATCTGAGATGTGCAACATGCAAAATAACTCAACACACACAAGATTTTCATTAGAACCCAGCCTCCCTTTTTCTTTGAACATGAAATTCATCACAAATAGGACTTTCATCAGTGTCCCATTATGAAAAGCATATTCTCCTTCCATGCCGATTATAAAGTAATCAACAGTAGTGTTTCACTGGGAATACCGTAACAAAATTCCTGTAAGCAGAAGTACATAGAGTGAGTTTTGTAACAGTTGACTGATTTAAGAAGAAGAAAGTAAATAATTTAGTGTTTCATCATAGAGCCACCTATAGGAATGAAGTGTCAACAATTTCTGAGTGGCTGTAAGCCAGGTCAGTTTTTCATGACATTCTTTATACTACTCTAAGAAGCTCTCTTCTGGATCTACACTCCAGAAGGTAGAGCCAGGGCCAGCATAGCAGTTATAAAGCCTGCAAAACATGCCACAGGATAATAATTTTTCACTGACATGGATTCACAGCCATGTGGATCACTAGTCTATTATTTCCAAAGGGAGTCAGAAGACAGATTCAATGACACAGCGTAGCAGTGCACTCTAAAAGCTTTTAATATGAGAAGACATGAGCCCTATTTTGATCAGGCTTCACATTTAAAGAGCTATACGCTTTATTTATGAAATGGTGATTTTCTTCAGTATAAGCCAATTTTGTTTTTTGTTCATCTGATAACATAGTGGGGCAGATTTTTACCCCACTCTCGGGCAGCACAATGGCAATGAAGACAGGCAACTCCCCAGTTAGTGCGACTTCCCAGAACGCAAAGAGCCACCAGAACTGGCACCTTCTACACAGCCTCTGGCACAGGAAATGGGAAGAGGGGAAGGAGGCACGGCTAGAATACTCAGCTGGCAGACAATCCCTTAGGAGGCCTTGCCAGCTGGCATGCTGAAGCAGCCCTGAGGCTGCTCTAACCTGTGCCCAGTACTGTGGCAAAAAAAGGGTCAAGGAGCCATAACTGGCTCCTTCTCTACTATAAAGAGTCTGTAAAAGAACCTGGCCACTCCAGGTTAACAGACACATATGTGGTCTCACACACAAAAAAAGTGTGGTCTAGTGGTATGACCATAAAAATGAGAGGACATAACTCCCAAGTTCCAGATCTGACACTGACCCCTTCTGTGTCCTTGGGTCCTTAACATCTAGGCCTCCGGTTCCCCATCTGTACCATGCAGCCAGCAATACTGAATCATCTACCTCACAAGGAGATATGAGGATGAATTAATCTGATAATGTTTCTAAAGCGATATATAAGAGTTAAATAGTAGTATTCTTTTTCTTCAAACAAAGCAACGCCATCAATAGATTTTGAATTGCTGCCTCCATAATGGTTTACTGCTGCCAAGAGGAATACTGAGGTGAAGATGTTTAATTTTGATACTGGGGCATGAATGTGGAACCCATTCGTTTATGTCTCTATTCTACACAATTTTAAAATGTTACTTTCACTGGAAAAAAATGTAGACCCCATTGTATCATAAGCTGAAGAAGTGAAATGAGTGAATAATAATGAGATACCATAGAGAATATTAATACTTTCATATTATACATTTTTTCAATACAGGAATTAATTTCAAAAGACAATATTTAAGAAAGAAGCCATTTCGGCTATAGATGCTGCATCTTTTAATGCATTTATGTTTTTTGACAATGTATCCAAGACAAAGATGCTCTCATTTTTTGTAATGTATGTTGGAACAGTACGTAGAAAGAATGTTGTGTGGCTGCATGAATAGAAAAGAATAGTGTCACAACATTCTAATCTCTTTCTTTTACATAAATGCCAAATTACAGAAGAAGAATCAATGGAAAATAAAGACCAGGCAGTTCCACTGGAGTTGTGCCAGCTTATATTAGCAGAGAATTTGGCCCTGAGTGTCAAGAGAAAGCTGAGACTTGTATTTGCAAGTCTTAAACTGTTAATCCTGTGATATTCTTTTATGGCAATAGCATTGCCTCATCAAACAACCTGAATGATACAGTGTGATGGGATAGACTAGGCCTAGAGGACCCCTGCTGGAGGCCTAAGGGACTTTCCACACCCATCCCAGGTGCAATAGAGGTATCCTCCAAGCGGCCTAGAGAGGCTGCAGGGAGCAGCCAATCAGGGCCCAGGAAGGCCATATAAAAGGAGCTGCGTAGCCAGATACAGTCAGTTCCTTGATGGAGTCAGAGGAGTACAACTGTGCTCCTGGCTGGCCAAAGGGAACTGCAGCACCATAGACAGCCCAGTGCTGGCAGGGACCAGAGGAATGAGAGACAGCTCCTAGTTGGCTGCTGGGCCTGGACACAGATGAGCCCTGAAATAAGGGCAGGTCCCTCTCTACCCCCCACCTCTCATAGGCCACTAGGGAACTGACCTACAATTGGGCAGTGGTAAACTCCTCCTGAAGGGGATCTGAACTACTAAGAAACCCAACTGGAGAGCTTGGGCTGGAACAGACCAAGAGGGCAAAGCCATTGCCTCCAGAGAGGAAGCCCTGGGGGTATGGCCTGATAGCAGGGCTGGGACTGTCTAAAGACCACAGACACACCTGACCAGAGGGGGCACTTGTGAGAGGTTTAAGATTTAAGTCTTGATCTTGCAACTGGATCTGCAAGTGCAGAGTCCTTATGTCTCATTTAAGTCAATAGGGCTGCACACAGATGCATGGATTCCTCCAAATGGGTTCCATTGCAGTCATTAGCCCTTAATCATTTAGCTGATGGAATATTAGCACAGTAAAATAACAGTTTATTGTAGCATTAGCTTGTTGCACTCTACTTATTACACCTTTCTGCTTGCCTGCCCATCTTCGACCTGACATGTCGTCTGCTATACCAGTCCCTAGTAGGGTTACCACCTTTGAAATAAAATTAAAAAAAAAAAGGCAAGCCTGCTGCAACCCCAAACACAAGGCAACTCCACAACGCCGCCCCCCCCCCCAACCAGCCACTTACAATATTTAAAGCGAACACATTTAGATAAGATTGATAACATTGCATGCCTCCTCACTCTCAGAATGACTCAAGCCCTCTCTCTCATACACACGCATGGTGCGCTTCCATGATGGTGGACTGATAGCTGCTGTGTTTTCAACAATTTTGATCTGTTATTTAAACTGCGGAAGTGGGAACATTGCAGCCTCTTTAGCTGGACACAAACTTTTAACATTAGCTATCCCAGTGTATTGTTTTATTATTTAGCCGCCTAGTTACACAGAGGGACTTAATGGCTTCTTTACATTTAGCCTGAATGAAAGAAGGCTCTTACACCCACTAACTTCGAACAGGTTTAATACAACCCCCAA